CCACCCCTTTAACATCCCATCCCCCAGTTACCTCCTCTGAGCTCCCCCTGCTCTGCCCTTTGGGGCCAGCCCTAATCCCCCCCCGGGGCCTGCCCCCTGCTCCCCCCTCTGGGCTCCCCCGCCCTCTCTGGGGCCTGCCCCTTTAAGACCCCCCCACCTCTTGACCCCTCCCGGACACCGTACAGCAAGCCTTTGCTGCCTCCCCCGTCACGTGACTCCCGCACGCCGGAGGGGGGAGGAGGAGGAAGGGCGCGGTTTGTCACCCAGCACGTGACGCTCGCCCGCCTCTCCTCACGTGACTAGGCCGCTCTTCCGCCTCCCTCCCCCCCTCCGTCGCCACGTGACGCGCTGCCGTTTCCTACGTGACTCCCCGGCCGGTCTCGCGAGGTTTTGGCGGTGGCGCCGCCTGGAGCAGCGCCGGGGCGAGCGGAGGCCGGAGCCGGGCCTGGGCCCTGCCGGGAGCGGAGCCGCCGGGGGAGCAGCCCGCAGGCCGGTGAGGGGGGCGGGGCTCGGCTCCCGCTGGCTGCGGCCTAGAGCGTCTGACCCTGGGGGCGCGTGAGGGGCCCCGACCCCCGGCCGGGCAAAGGGGAGCGTCGGGGTGATTGGTCCTGTCTGCACCGTGACCCTTGACCCCAGCCCCCCCCACTGACCTGTGACCCCTGACCCTGCTGTGTTGACCTCTGACCCCACCCACCCCACCTTTCTGTACACCCACTGACCTGTGACCCCTGACCCCGCTCTCCTTCCCTGACCTGTGACCTATGACCCCTGGCCCACCCTGATTTTGTGTATGCTCACTGACCTGTGACCTCTGACCCCACCCCTCCTCTCTGTGCTCTCACTGACTCGTGACCCCTGACCTGAGCTCTCCCATGCGGACCTGTGGCCCCGACCACAGCATCCCCCCACTTACATGCACTCACCGACCTGTGACCTCTGACCCTAGCCCTCCCACCCTGACCTGAAAACTCTCACCTCTGCGCACACATGCTGACTTGTGATCTGTTGCTTCTGACCTAGCCCCGACTTTGATCTCTGATCCCAGCCTTCCCCACGCACCACCCTTGGCCTTGACTTGAAAAGACTCAGATGATTGGGCCCCTCTGACCTGCACTATCTGATCCCAGATCTGGGGGAGCTGGGCTTGCTGTTGTGGGAGAGGATTCATGTTATTTCCGGCCTGAGGAATCTCTAATGGTTGCTCTCCAAGTACATGAAGGGAGGCAGGTTTCAGAAGTCGGACCTGGTAATGCTGCTCTTGGGAAGCTGCTATCCAGGGGGAGCTGGGAAGACCCACTTCCTCACCCAGTTGTCCTCTAGCTCCCATCAGGTTACAGGACTGTAATTTGGAATAGGGCCTGTTCAGGATTCCCTGTCAGGGAAGATCCATAGTTATGTGGATGGCTTCCCCTTCCACACGCACATCCGGCCTTGGAATTTTAGGGCAGGGAAGTAAGCGGATTCCTGGCTATCTTTGGGCCATCTCCTTCCTGCGGCAGGAAATGTGAAACAGCTGCCGTTTGTGCTGGGGTCCACCTGCCATCACTAGAAAATGTGGTCAAGCGAGGGGTTCTTGGCGCTACTGTGGAGGGTCTTGTGTGTGCGTTCAAGTATATTTTGGGTTTTTCTAACTCTCTCTAATTCTGGGTTATGTAGTGAAGTAATTCTAACAGAGCCATTTAATCCCTTTCCTCGCAAATTCTGTAGAATGTGTGTCAGGGAAATACAGTAAAATAAAAACATAAATTAAAATTCCTATAGTTTAAAGTTGTCTGCAGTCTTGCCCCATCTCCCACCTGTATATCCCTTTTTCTTCCAGTTCATCTGACTCTATCCATCTTCATATTATTTTTCTCTTTTCCGTTTTCTTATCTACAACCGCCATACCCCAACACTCCTCGTAACTGGAGTGTTGGCCATTTCTTGTGTAGTTATATTCTGCCTCCTTTAAAAACAAACCAACCAACCTTGTGGTTTCAACTGGCTGTAGTGCTATTCTTCGCTTCCTGCCTTAAAGTGTTATGTGGCGCTGCTGTGTGGCACATCTCATATTGGTCTATTTCACTGGCGAGTGAAGTGCTTTGTGTATATAGCTGATGTATTGGTGTGTAAAGTATTTGGGGCTCTTTTAAACATGTGGCATGGTATGTTTGACTACGTGTCTTCACCACTATCCCCCTCAATTTCCCTTCACCGTTCCCTGCTGCGATCCTTCTTGCATCCTGTCTTAATATAGGCCCTGGTCTGAAAGCTTTGCCTTGTGGGCTTGGGCCTACATGCGTGGAGCGACTTGCAGGATCAGGACATGGACTGTAATCCCTTCAGAGCAGAGTGCTCTACGTGATGGGGTCTGGTTGGGGTCACTGAATGTTACTGTACTGCAAATAATATACTAATATATGAAGTAGCTAGTAAAATTGCTGACTTTCCTGTAAGGAAATCAGATTGTTTTCCCCTTACAAAACACTGCGGCTGACTTGTCGAAAATTTGCAAGAGCTGTGCAAACGTTACACGACTTAGTTATCAGTAAACACCTACATGTGCCGTAACTACTGAATGAAGGTTATAACTTCTGTTACCTGAAACAGGCTCATGTCCTCCAGTGTCATTTAATTACATTGAAAAATTCCCTTGCTTAGCCAAATGTATTTGGTGCACCCCAGGGAAGCTGGATAATCTAGGCTGTACTGTATTTAGAAATCAGGAAAGGTTCTGAATTACAGTAGTGCTTCATATTGATCTTGTGGTGTTATGTTGAGTCAATATGAACTGAGAATTTCATTAGAGGCTTGTTCCAAAGCCTGCTTGAAGTCCGCTATGTCCATTGACTGCGGTGAGTTTGGATCAGGTCCTGCAAAGACTTTGTCCGTGCTTAGCTTTTAAGCACGTGATTTCAGTGGGATCACGGAGTGGAACTGCTCACATGCTAAAAGTGAAACATGCTTATAAGTCTTTGCAGAATTGCGTGCATAACCACTTAGGCCCTGATCCTCTGGTGAGCCCTGAGTGGGTGATTCCCTGTCTCCTCATGAAGCCCCACTGGCTTTGGCTAGGTGTCTGTCTGTATGTAAGGTACTTATGTGGCTCCCATCACCCTATATTTTGGCGCTTCACCCTCCCCCTCCCCACCGAGAGGCAGGGAAGTATCATCTCATTTTACAGCTGGGGACCTGAAGCGACATTAACAAGTATACATAGGTAGCCTGGTGCAGAGCCAGGAACGGAAGCCGGGTTTCCAAAGTCCTATACGGAGGCTGTAGTGGTAGTCATGTTATCATGTACAACAAGATTTATTCAACTTTCCACCATCTAGCACAGTGAGAGAATTAGACGCTATGTGATCGAGTCTTTCGTACTCAGCGGCACTTCAGAACCTTTACATTAAAATGGAAATAGATGGAAAAAATGCAACATTTTGGTTTTTTTTAAAAAAAAGGCAAACTACAGCTTCTGCCAGATTGCGGCATGGGTGGGTCCTTTTGTGTATATTCTATTAATAACTATGGTTTGCTTGTGCTCCCCTGTCCGGCTCCATCTCTTGTCTTATACTTAAATTATCAGCTCTTTGGGGCAGGGTCTGTCTTTTTGTTCTGGGTTTGTACAGCGCCTAGCGTAATGGGGTCCTGGTCTGTGACAGGGCGTGCCTAGATGTTACCATAATACACCTAATCGAAATTAAAATGTACAGCCTCTGGCACAATGGGGTCCTGCTAGGGCTCCTGGGAGCTACTGTAATACCTATAATAGTTACTCAGTGAATTTTAATTCACTCTCTTGCCTCAGTTGACGGAATAAGAGTCTATAGCATTTGGCAGATGCTTCCTTTTGATCATGTTTCATCTACCACGAGGCACAGGACTTAGATCTGATGAATAAAGAGGGGCTGTTTCTGAACATACAGACCCCGTGTTTCTCTCTAGCTGCCCAAGGTTGCTCTGTGCCTCAGTTTCCCATCTGTAAAATGGGAGGGATGCTATTTCCCTACCTCCGTGGGGTGTTGAGAGGACAAATCCATTGATATTTGTAAGGGGCTTGGATACTCTAGTGATGAAGGCTTTATAAACGCTCACAGCTAGTAGACCTTGAGTAAGGCCTTGTCTACACTACCCGCTGGATTGACAGGCAGCGATTGATCCATCAGGGGCCGAGCGCTCTCCCGTCGACTCCGGTACTCCACCGGGGCGAGAGGTGGAGTCGACGGGAGAGCATCAGCCGTCGACTTACCGCAGTGAAGACACCGCGGTGAGTAGATCTACGTACGTTATTCACGTAGCTGAAGTTGCGTAACTTAGATCGATTCCCCCCTCCCCCCTGTGTAGACCAGGCCTTGATCACTTTAACCTGAATGTGCCTTAGTTTGCCCATCTATAAAACAGGACTACTAGGTGCCTTGCAGGGGTAATTGGGTGGACTCATTGGTGCCTATACAGAGCTCTGAGATTTCTGAATGGAAGGCCGTTTAGGTCCCTTCTTTGAGAGCATCCCCTGTTCTCGTAGGTATTTCTCAGGAGGAAATTCCATCCCCTTAGAACCTAGGAGCCCCGCGAAGATGTCGGATAGCGAAGACAGCAACTTCTCCGAGGACGAGAGTGAGCGGAGCAGCGAGGCGGAGGAGGTAGAGAACGAGGTGAGGCTGACGGAGAGATGTGGCCACTGCCTAAAGGAATGTGGTTTTGTGGGGGGGGGGGGGGGGAAGGGGGATTGGAGTTTATACCCACTTGAAATGTAGCATGTCCCAAATGTTACTCTAGTCTGTCATTAAAAAACAAAAAACACACCAAAAACCGAAGAAGCAGGGTAGGGACTGAATGGCTCAGGGGATTGGAACTTGGCTAGGACACTGCACCGGGAGTCAGGACACCTGGGTTTTATTCCTAGCTATGTTGTGTGACTTGAGGCAAGTCACTGCCGCTCTGTGCCTCAGTTTCCCCATATGTGAAAGGAGGAAAATGATACTTCTCTACCCCTTTTTTTTAAAGCACTTTGAGAGCCACAGGTGAAGCGCTCTCCAGGAGCCACAGCTCACCAGTTCCAATCTAACCCCTTTTGGTAACAGAAGTAAACTGCTACCTGGGGTTTGGCCAGTGGTCTGTTTGAAGTGAGTTTGACACGTGTCAGTCCAGGAGGACAGGTGTCTATGTCACAAATCACCTGCCCAATTGTCCTTCTCAGGGCCGTTCTCGGCAGAGTGCTCACGGGCTGAATAGATCCCGGAGACTGAACTCTGCTCTGGGGGTGCCGACTCCATGGCTGGGGGAGGCAGATTGCAAGGCGGGGGTGGGAAGCAAGGCTCACCCTTACCGCCCTGCATGCTGGTTCTCATGGGGAAAGCTCTAAAGGGGGGATGGACCCGTTCCTGGGAGATCCACCCGGCGAGTCCAGGACTGGCATGGGCTCTGCATCTGATCAGCTTCCCTCTGCAATGCCCAGGCAGAGGAGGAGCGTGCCAGCGTCGCGGGCAGCGAGAAGGAGGAGGCTGAGGAGGAGGAAGAGGAGGAGGAAGAAGACTACGATGAAGAGGAAGAGGAGGACGATGATGATCGGCCGCCAAAGAAGCCCAGACATGGAGGGTTCATCTTGGATGAAGCCGGTAAGGAACCTCCAGGGCTGCGTGTGTGTTACTCTGAGGCCCCCAGGGATGCTTGTGCAGTGTGATTGGTAGGAATAGAGGGAGCTGGGAGTCAGGACTTCTGGGGTCTATTCCTGGCTCTAGCCGGGGAGTGCGGTCTTGACATTAGAGCAGGGGAATGGGGGATCAGGACCTCTTATTTCCAGCCCTTCCATTCAATTGCTGGGTGACCTTGGAATCAAATCACTTTCCTTTTCTGGGCCTCGATTTCCCCCCGTTTAAAATGGGCATAAAATACTTTCCTATCTTCTGGGAAAGCATGTCAGGAGGTGATGGGTTACCCAGGGCATGGCTGCTGTGGACTGGATCTCTTGTCTGCCTGTGCATAGTCCACAGGGATTCCCCCGAGGCCGAGGGCTTCAGGAATTTTGGTCCAATTTCTCTCTGCCTTCCTATGTGTCAGGCCAGTGATCACAAAGCGGCTTCAGTTTCCTTCAGGTAGCTTCTGGGCCATCCCGTCCCATGCGGCATCTCTGGCCAGCTGTTTCCTGGAGCCTGCTTAACTGAGCAAGTCTCCCTTTCACTCTCTTTCCCGCAGATGTGGACGATGAATACGAAGACGAGGACCAGTGGGAGGACGGCGCGGAGGACATTCTGGAGAAAGGTAAGGCTGTGCCCTCCTTGGGAGGATCGGCTGGGGATTCAGTGCAGCCCCCGGGGCATGTCCCCCGTTTTCAACTAGCTCCGGAGCAATATCGCTCTGACCTGGGGGAGATAGGGGTCTGCTCATTAGCCTCCCCGGTGCGAGGCAGGATGGGGTGTTAGCAGGACTCTCCAGTATAGACATTCCAGGTGTGATGTTCCTTGGTTCCCCATCTACTAGTTGAGGGTAATGCTCCTGTTTCCCGGGGGAGTGGCTGCTGTTTAGCCAGGGACCTGCCCCCCCCTCGAGCTGGATTGCAAGCCCTGTGGGATGAGACTGACCAGGGAGCTTTGAGGATGGGATGTTGCAGAACATCCTGTCTGTCTCCCCAACCCCAGTGCCACTGCTTTGCTCCTTATCGTGTCACTCCTCTGCATGCTCCTCCCCATCAGCGAACGGTGGAGAACATAGTTTTACTCCTTTTGATTTTCCTTTTGCCGAGGAAGAGCTGCGGGGCCCGTACGGAGGGAGGCGGGAATGCTGGCAAGCAGAGCCCTGTAAACCAATCTCTGCGGCCGGCGGGAGAGGAGCCTTCAAATCCCATCGCGGCTGGGAAGCCCCAGATTTCTGTCTGTCACTTAAAGGCTGCTCTGCTGCCTGGTTCCTGACATGTCCCCTCCCCATCAGAGGGGAAATCTTCCCTCTCTGCTGCCTTTCCAAAAGGCAGGGTGGTCTAATGGTTATGGAGTCAGCTAGCCCTAGCTCTGGGAGGGGTGTACACAGAGGGGCTGGGAGCAGGACTTCTGGGCTCTATTCTCAGCCCTGTCGCTGAGTTGCTATGTTAGGAAGTCACTTCCCCTCCCCGTGCCTCAGTTTCCCCTCACCTAAAACAGCAGGGACTCTAATCTTCCTCTGTAGTGCGCGTTGATGGTTGTCAATCCATAGAAATGTGACAGTGTGGGTTTCGGCGCTCTCGATTAGCTCCATGATCAAGCCCAGCTCACAACTCCCCTGAGATTAGGCTGAGGGAGAGGGGAGCTGGCAATACGCTACCTAATTTGCCTTTTAAGATCATTTGCCAAAGTTGTACTAACGTTTTGGCAGAAGATTGGAGACTTTATGTAGGAGGTGCCACTGCAGTAGCAACCTCAGCAGGTCCCAGAAGAGGTGTTAACCCTGTACTTGTGATGGCCCATAAATATAGGCCTGAGACGCAGTAGGGCTCTGGCCCAGTTGTAGGTGTAGATTTATCAGGAAAGTGGCTGCTCCCTGCATCTGCTCCCTGTGCGCTGAGAATCCTCTCTGCTAAATTTAGGGACATAAAGAAATTTTGGCTACTACTTGCCCCGGCTCGCTCTGGAGAAGCCAGCACAGCTCCGAGAGAAGGAGCCGGTTTCTGGTCTGGCTTGTGTATCATCAAAATGATTGATAACCGAGCTGTGATCACAGAGCCGAATTCCGCAGCAGCCAGTGAGGTTGCATAAGTGGAACTGGGGACAGAATTTTTATCTTCAGGTCAGGCATCATCTTTTTGTTCTCTGTACAGCACCTGGCACAATGGGGTCCTAGGCCCACCGTAATATGCCTAATAGCAATAAAAACGTACAGCAGCCAACACAACAGGATTTCTGGTCCGTGACTGAGGGTCCGCGGCATTACAGCAATACACACAATTCATAATAGTGCACAAGTGAAGAAGTTTGGCCGATCTTAGTGTGAATGTTTGAGCCTGGCAGCGTGAGTAACCATGGAGTGACGGGGTCTCTCAGATGCTGAGTTTGCTTTAGTTGGGTTTTTTTTTTTAAGTTCCTCTTCAATAGGTCTACACTACCCGCCTGAATCGGCGGGTAGAAATCGACCTCTCGGGGATCGATTTATCGCGTCCCGTCAGGACGCGACAATCGATTCCCGAATCGAAGCTCTTACTCCACCAGCGAAGGTGGGAGTAAGAGCCGTTGACGGGAAGCCGCGGAGGTCGATTTTGCCGCTGTCCTCACAGCGGGGTAAGTCGGCTGCGATACGTCGAATTCAGCTACGCTATTCGCGTAGCTGAATTTGCGTATCTTAAATCGACCCCCCACCCGTAGTGAAGACGTAGCCAAAGTAGAATGTTGCTCCAAATTGGGGCCAGAAAACGTTGTGGAAGTTTTGCCAGAAACTGGGAACGGGAACAGGGGATGGATCATTTGATGATCACCTGTTCTGTTCATTCCCTCTGGGGCACCTGGCATTGGCCACTGTTGGAAGACAGAATACTGGGTTAGATGGACCCTTGGTCTGACCCAGTGTGGCCGTTCTCATGTTCTTATGGAAAGTTTGGAAAACTACAAAGTGTCTTTTGTGTCGATCCAGCTTTTTTAGTACGTTTGTAGATATGTTTTTTGCTGAATGAAACAGTGATTTGCTGCAGTACTAGCATACCTGCTAGAATCCATAGCATGCTGAGAGCTGTGTGTATCCGGGTGCTTAATGGCCTATCTACATGATGCCAATTAGGGCTGTATTTCCTTCATCTCCCCACAGTCTCCTTATCTGCCGCCCTTGTTTTTCAAACAGAATCGGCTGGCTTGGGGGTAAAAGGGCTCTGCTATCTGGATCAGTCAGTTGTTTCCTCTCTCTGTGGGAACACTGTGGGGTCTGCCTGTGGCTCCGCTTGTCTGCCTCGGCTCTCTGGGGCTGGACTGGGTCAGGTGGTATCTCCGGGAAAAGGCTTTCCCTTGGGGGCGGAGGCAGGGCCGGCTCCAGGGTTTTGGCCGCCCCAAGCAGCCAAAAAAAATAAAAAAGCCGCGATCGTGATCTGCGGCGGCAATTCGGCGGAAGGTCCTTTGCTCCGATCGGGAGTGAGGGACCATCCGCCGAATAGCTGGACCTGCCACCCCTCTCTGGAGTGGCCGCCCCAAGTACCTGCTTGCCAAGCTGGTGCCTGGAGCCAGCCCTGGGCGGAGGGGGTTCCAGTTTAAGGGTGACTGCTGCTAGTGAAAGATGCCGTGATGCAACAGCCTCTAGTGTGGGGGAGGAGAGTCTGGGGCTTGGCCTGTCTGCTGAGGCTCCGACAAGGAGACCAGCTACAAGAGGGACGATATTGGCGGGTGCCCGTCCCCTGGGATTAGAGTGAGGCCCTTAGTCACCAAACAAGGGTGGCAGGATGGTGACGCCCCTATCTCTGCTGCCCCAGGCTGGATTCAAAGAGACACCCCAGGGTGGGGGTCCCACCCAGGGCAGACATGCCATGCTCTGGCTGGTCCCCCGTTTGGTGGTGGTATTGATTGCGGGTTCATTGCCTACCTAGTGAGCTGAATGCTCCCGTTGATTTGCCAGCATCAGGCTGGCGGGCAGTGCCGCACGTCACCGGCAGCACTCAGGTCACGGGGCGCAGGTCAGGGACAGTGGTACCTCCTGGGGGTCCTGGCGAAATGCTGAGGCAGCCACTCTGAAGCTGTCACAGCTGTGAGGTTTGACTTGTTGCAGGCGGGGGGTCAGGGCCAACAATTCATTCCATAGATGTCAGAGTTGGAACAGGGCCATGCCTAATGGAGAGAGAACCCGACCGGGCCTTAGGAGACCTGGGTTCTAGTCCTGGCTCTGCTGGGTGTCCTTGGGCTAATTGCCTCCCTCCTCTGTGCCTCAGTTTCCCCATCTGTAAAATGGGGGTAACCAAACTGACCTGCTTTGTGAAGAGCTTTGTGATCTGATGAAAAGGACTCCGTGAGAGCTAGGGATTATCGAGTATTAGCACTTCCCGCGTAACCCAGGCCATCAGACGCTGAAATTCTTTACCGTGGCAGCCTGCCCATCTTGCCAGCGCTCTCCCCGTCTCCCCCTCGTGCTTGTTTGTTTGTTTTTTATTTACGTGCATTTCATTCGCACCTGCTTGGTTTGTGCCACATCTTAATTTTGTTCCTTCCGGTTTTATGTTCCCCATTCACCCTGTGGTTGGTTTTGATGCTATTATTTGGCTCATACTGTCCGCCCTCCACCACCACCTCTGCCTCCCGAGCAGAAGAAATTGAAGGTAAGCCCGTTTTTCATTCCAGCCCCTGCCTCTTCACAGCCCTCTCCCACCCCTCCCCGGTGCTGCCTTGTCTTTTCCGCTTCCTTTCAGCCGGGCGGGCCCCAGGAGCGATGCTGGAGAAAGTCTCCGACCCTTGGCTCAGTTGCTGTTCTGGCCGGTGCAGCAATAGAGCAGGCTGGGGGGGTGGTGGGGGAGGAGCGGCTAATCGGAGAGGGGCAGTGGGTTTGCTGTCTCCTATAGTGGTCACAGAAGCTGCCTCACGTAGGCTCTCTCGCCCTGTAGCGGCCTGGCTCTAGCCGTGGCTTGACTCTGCAGCAGAGGAAGAGGTGCTGCCTAGATCGGTGAAACCAAGTCAAGCCCACCGCGTGCGGGATCCCTCTTCCAAACGCGAGCGCCCCGTTCGCTGCCTCGCTTGTGCTCCAGCCACGAGGGAACAGTCGGTGGAGTCGGCTGAATGTTGCTTCCCACCATCCTGTCCCGTCCCAGGCCTCACCTTTGCTTCGCTGATCGACTGCCCTTCGGGCGGTTGGCCACGTGGCGGACCATTTCCAGGGCGCTCCCCTCCCCCGGCGGTGCTAGGTGTGGGGGCTATTTAACCGCTGCGTCTCTTGCAGCCTCCAACATTGATAATGTGGTTCTGGACGAGGATCGCTCTGGGGCCCGGAGGCTGCAGAACCTTTGGAGGTGATGTTATCCTGTGCTTGGGGGCGGGGAACGGGACGCGGCAGCCGGGGACCAGAGAGCGGGATGAGGTTGCTGCCTGTGACGTGCACGTGTTGGTGTCCAGTGTAAACACATGGTGGGGAATAGGACTCGGGGCCTTCGCTTCCGGGCACAAGGGCCTCTCCGGTGGAGCTGGAAAAACATCTCCACTAGGGGCGCCCTAAAGAACCCGAAGTAGGTCTGAGCGTGCCCAGCAGAGGGCAGCGGTGTTAACCCGGGGAGACCTGGCTATATCCTATAGCAGCCTCAGCTCAACCAGCGGCATGAGCCCAGAGCCCCTGTGTTGCTCCCTGGTGACTTGTTGCTCTGCGATCTTGGTTGGGGAAAGGAGCCCGAGTCACTCCCCTTGTCTCTGTGAGCTCAGTCACCCCATGGCCTGGGGGGGTCTCTGCGCCGCCAGCAGGGCTGTGGCCTGCGTCGGTCCAATCCGATCCCTCACGCCTTCTCCTTCGCTGTCTCTCCGCAGGGACCAGCGCGAAGAGGAGCTGGGCGAATATTACATGAAGAAATACGCCAAGTCCTCCGTGGGAGAAACGTGAGTGCCCAGCCCCCAGGGCAGAGTGTGTGTGTGTGTGTGTGGGGGGGGGTCATCTCTCCCTTATGCCCTCCCCCAGGATCCGCCAGTCCTCAGGGTCACTGGCTCTTTCCCCGTGGGCCTCTGATTCCTTCTTGCTGTCCCCATGGGAAAGGTAGGCCTTTGATTCCATGATCTCCACAGTTAAGCTGGGCTCTTCCCGACGCCAGTCCCCACGGGCCTGGAAGCCAGGTTCTTCCCCCACCCCAGTCCTTGCAGCCCGGAAAGGGACCGGACAGCAGGAGCAGACAGAGGCTGTCAGTGCCACACAGATCCCTAGGAAATAGCAGGACCCTCTCCGTTTCCTTCAGGGCCTGGGGTGTTTAGAGATGAGCCCTGCAAAGGCTCTGCCTGATTCCCCCGGTGTGTAACCGACCCAGCTAGTGCTTCGGCTGGTCTGACTCTGCGGGAAGGGGCTGGTCTCCTGAATGTAGCCAAGTACTGGCTGGTTCTAGTGCGTCCGTTCTCCTAGCTTGGTTCTGGCCAGGTGCAGATAATTCCCCTCCTCCCTGGTGTGTGCGCGGAGTGGCCGGCTGCCCTGGACTCTCGGAATCGTTACTGTCACAACCGCCAGCTCGTGCTGTCGTTGCTGGGCCTGATGTTTCTCCCCACCCCTTCTGTTTCCCTGGCAGGGTGTACGGCGGCTCTGACGAGCTTTCGGATGACATCACGCAGCAGCAGTTACTGCCCGGTGTCAAGTAAGGCCCTTCTGCCCGGGAGAACGTGCACCTCGTGGAGGGGGGATGGAAGGTCATCCAAGACCAGGGCGCGTGAAGGGTAGAGCAGGGAACGGGCTGTGGCATCAGGCCAGGAGTGGTGGACGAAGGGACACGGAGGAGAGGGAGGCACGGGTTGTGGCACCAGGTATCACACTGTCTGGAGTGGCTCACGTCCGTGAGTGCCTACCTGAGGGCAGACTATCGGAAAACAGGACAGACACCGCAAACTGATGGTGTGTTCTGTAATTAGTTTTCACCAAGCCAGTGACAAATGTGAACTCCTGGACACTACCCCAGTCTTGCCACGGAGTCACAGACAGTCCCCTTGGACTCTCCAGGCTATTTTGCGACACAGACAAACTGGGCGTTGTGATAAAATGGTTTCTTACACCAAAAACCACATCACCTTTAGGTTGTTTCCAGTCCCAAGAGACCCCCTATCAACTGGGTACTCCAGATGGTATATCAAAGACAAGGCTGGCAGCCAAGTCTGTAGTAAACGAACCAAAAGTTTATTAGCTAAGGAAAGGAAATGAGTTACTGAGAAGTTAAAGCAGGAAAAATATGTGCACAGGTGAGTCAGTTTGTAATTCCAAATGGTGGCAGTGATGTAATAAACTGCCAGTTTCCCCAAAGTCTTTTCAGGGTAGCTAGATTGTCTCTGGGGATCTCCGCTTTGCATCTGGTGCACTTTCCTGTAAGAGTCCAAGCAGTCCAGAGATCCAGGATCTTTCCTTGAATCCACACACACAGCTGCTTCTCACAGAAAACAAGCTGACAGTGTCACTACCCGCGTGGGTTTTTCCTTTGCTGACGGAGAGCGAGGAATGCATTTTGAGGCTTCGATCTCCGATCATCACCCACAATGAACGCTTGCTTTGAAATGAGCACTTTTTGCTGTTGAAGTTCTTCACTTGCATTCCATTTAGTTAGAGGGGCATACGCAGTGTACGTGTTTGCTGCTATATGATGGTGGGATGCAGATAAGTGAAAATGCAAGTCACATCCCGTTAGTTTTCATGAAGTTTAAACACCAACTACACTCTTATACCTTTAACAATCACTTTGAGCTATACTAATACACAAGTGAATTGGCCTGGGGGTCTGGCATGAGTTGGCACCTGGTCTGCCCATGTCATACATAACAAAGTTTATTTTGCTAACAGTCTTTTTTTTTGTTTTGTTTTTCTTTTCCTTCCACTCAGGGATCCCAACCTCTGGACTGTGAAGTGTAAGGTACGTTCCAGGCAGGGGAGGATGCTATTGAAACACCTCTAAACCCTGAATCACGAGCTCCAGCTGCCCCGTGGCTGGGTTTTCATTAGCCATGAACGCCGCCTCCTCTCTGAGTCGGGGCGTGAGGGCATCTCTCTAGCTATAGATTGCTCTCACCGTGGCCTCTCTCCTCTCTCCCCAGATAGGAGAGGAACGTGCCACAGCCATAGCCCTGATGAGGAAGTTCATCGCCTACCAGTTCACAGACACGGTAAGGATGGAGGGCAGGAGGCCCCTTGGCCCCCAACTCAATTCAACTTTGTGGGGTGGCTTAGCGCTGTTGACCACTTGTTGAGAGATGGGAGAGGGTCATGCAGATCCTGATGTGAGCCGGGCTTCCTGCTGTTGATCTGTGGAAGGGGGGATTGGCTAGGCTGGAGCGTGCCTGAGGCCAGCCCCCATATCTCACGGAACTTCCCTCCCTGCCCACCTGCAGCCCCTGCAGATCAAGTCTGTGGTGGCCCCCGAGCATGTGAAGGGCTACATCTACGTGGAAGCCTACAAGCAGACCCACGTGAAGCAGGCCATTGAGGGCGTGGGCAACCTGCGGATGGGCTACTGGAACCAGCAGATGGTGCCCATCAAGGAGATGACAGACGTGCTGAAGGTGGTGAAGGAGGTGACCAACCTGAAGCCCAAGTCCTGGGTCCGGCTCAAGAGAGGCATTTACAAGGACGACATTGCTCAGGTACGGGCCGGGGTGCTGGCTGGCTCAGAACAGAGGGTTGGGGCTTGGGCAGCTGGCGTTCAGATGTACCTTTAATGCCTGCACTGGGAGGCTCTGAGCTGGGGCAGGCTGTTTTCGGAGTCCGGGAGCGTTGTCTTCAATGGAGCGGGAGCTGGGTGTTGGCAATCCTTGGCCTTGCTAAGGGTGGGAGTGGGGGCCAGAGATTGCAATAGGGGTGGGTTCGATTTCTGCTCTGTCCCTAGCTAGCGTGACACTGGACACCGGAGGAGCCCCCACTGTTTTCCTGTCCTGCTGCTGCAAGTGAGATTGGCTGTGGGTGGCGTCTCCGTGACGCTGCCCCCTCCTCTCCTGAGCTCATGTCGTCTTCCCTTCCAGGTGGATTACGTTGAGCCGAGCCAGAACCAGATCTCTCTGAAGATGATCCCGCGGATCGATTTTGACCGGATCAAAGCTCGCATGAGCCTGGTATGTTGACTGGCAGGATTCCCTGAGCTCTTTTCTGCTGAGCGCGCTGAGAGGGAAGAGTTTGTCCCCATTGACGCTTCCAGGCTGTTAATGGCCTGGTGCCCCAGCTTTGGCAGTGGTGGTGTGTTGGCATGTCTGTATCCTGATGGCAGGGGGGACGCATTTCTCCACTGTGAAGTGCTTACTCCGGTGCACCTCGCTGTACTGCCCTAGGAAGGGCAGGTTCCTCCTGCTCACAGCCCATGATAAGCAGGGCCCTTCTGTTATCCCCTCGAGAGGCGGGCGAATGCCTTTCCAGAGGGTCTGTTGATGGCATTCGGTACCCCGCCCATACAGTCTGGTGGGGATGCCTGACCCCCCAGGCCCAGTGGTGACTGTTTCCCCCTCCCCCCTTTGAATTGCAGAAGGACTGGTTCGCCAAGCGGAAGAAGTTCAAGAGGCCCCCCCAGCGGCTGTTTGATGCTGAAAAGATCCGGTAAGTGGCTGGTTTCTTGCTGGGGATGATCCGGGCGGGCAGTGTGCCCTCAGTGCAAGGACGCATCGTCTGTGTCCGCCGTGGCACTTAGATGGGTTTATAGTGAAATCCTGAGTGTATCTAACGAAGCATGGAGATTTCACGTAGTAGCAAGGAGAAGAACTGGAAACAAATGATTACAACGAAAATAAAATCATCACGTGCCTCCTGGAGCTCAGACTAAATGAAGACGACCCTCTCGTGTTTTGTAGAATGTTGCTCTCCTCAAATCCCCACCAGGCTTTTGTCTGGCTAGCTGTGACTTGTCTTTCCTGACACACGCGCTCTCAGTTTGCCTCCTAGGTGAAGGATTCAGTGGACTCCCAAGATATCCCAGATCAATCCTTTGTCTTTATCCATAAACAGGACCCCCAGCCCCTCCCGGTTTGTTTCTTCCTGTAGATTCTGCAATCTCTCAATTCGCACCTGGGCCGGTCTGCAAATAGGCATACAACACCTGATACACACACGACCAGACAGGGAGATAGGCATCTGTTACCTCCTGCCTGAGAGGAACATATCCGAGGTAGTCACCGTCTGGTGACCTGCCTTAACTGCAAGACCTGAAGAGCACAACATTCAGTATCGATACATAGCTCCTTAAATATTATCCGTACATATATTTTGCAGTGATTATGATGACCAGTGGGCAACTGGCTCTTGGTAGACACCTCACATGCCACCCTTTGGGGAACTATTATGCAGCTATCTGACTCAAGGGATCTCTGTAAAACCCTCTGCACGCCCTGTGCCCTCTGCCAGTTGGCACTGCAGGGTCCCTGGGTCATAGGTGGATAGAGATGGTGATGATTTGTCATCCTTCCATCACAACTTCCTCCAGCTCCATCCACAGGCGCACTGGGACTTGGGCTCCTTCCGTGGCGAGGGGCTCTGAGCCATAGGAAGGGCAGTCAGACCCTCTCCCTGCCCTGGGAGCTGGGTGGATTTGCCCCAAACTGGCAATCCAGACAGCTGCTGGTGAGAGACCTAATCCTGGAGTCCTGACCTCCCGGGGCAATAGAGGTAGCGCCACCATTCCCTGCAGCTCCACTGTCCTGTTATAAAACAGCCTGTCCCTCTTCTGAGAAGGCTGCCGCTGTGGGTGCCTGACCCCCTAATGCTCCCCCCCGCCCCTACTCTAGGTCCTTGGGGGGAGATGTTGCTTCCGATGGCGATTTCCTCATCTTCGAAGGCAATCGTTATAGTCGCAAGGGCTTCCTCTTCAAGAGCTTTGCCATGTCGGCTGTGGTGAGTATCTGTGGCTCTGTGCCGGGAGGCTCTTGTCAAGGTGGGGCTCTGAGCTGGAGCAGGAACCAGATCTGTCAAGGCGTAGGTTAGAAAATGAGGATTTTGGGGTGTCCCCCCCCTCAGAAAACTTAATTGTTTTGGCAAAAATCAAAAAAGTTCTGGTCTGGAAATGTTGTTGTGGTGCCTCATGGGAATTGTAGTTCTGGCGCCTCATGCTCCCATTTTCCACTATGAGCTGGCCTCCTTGCTTAGACTACATCTCCCATGAGGCACCACGACCTCCCCTCTTGGAGGCACACCATGAGGGGTCCATGGCCTCTGTGCATCATGGGAGATGTAGTCCAGCTGGAGAGCCTGGTCCATAGAAGAGAATCGGAAGGTGAGTTACCTGAACTACATCTCCCATGAGGCACTGTGGCAGCACATCCGAATTGAAATACTTTGATTTGGGACACTTGGTTTTTGATGGAAAAATCGAAACTTCCCATGGAACGCAGGCGCATCGCACAAAAACCTCTGTTTAGTCGGAAACCCAATTTTCTGTTTATCACCCCGCCAAAACCCAAACCCAGTTCTGATGGAAAATTTTCAACATACCTATTGTGAACTCTGTGGGGTACCCCTCTGGGCACATGATGGGGTGGGTGTGGAATCCCCATTTGGACGTCTGAGTGGGGGGATGGGTTGCTGAAATCCCCATCTGCATGTTGGGGGGGTTGTATGTGTATTTGGAGAGGGGGGGCGGTGGACAGCAAGATCTCCATCTGGGCGTGTCCTTTGCATGCTAGACTCCCCTATGGGGATTGAGATGAACCCACCCCTGGAGCAAAGCTCTGCTCTCGTCTCTTGTTGCGCGGCAAGGCAGGAAGCCTGACCCCTGGCAGCGGGCAACCTCAGGTTGGAGGGAAGCTCTGCAGACTCCATTTGGGTTTCTGTCTCCCCTCCCCCTCCCTGAAATCTCTCCGCTTTTGTCCCCCGGCTGCCAGATCACGGAGGGGGTGAAGCCCACCCTGTCTGAGTTGGAGAAGTTTGAGGACCAGCCGGAAGGCATCGATCTGGAGGTGGTTACCGAAAGCACAGGTACGTGGAAATGACTCATGCGCAGCGGGGAGTCCGTCTAGCCCAAGTGGATCAATGGGGGGTTGGTCTCTGTTTTGCCCCTGAATCCACAGGGGGCTGTGCTGTAGGCATGTGTGGGGCTGCTGCTGCCTGGGAGCGGCACCCTCCCCGCGAGTCACGGTGCTCTCCGTTGGGCAGGGAAGGAACGGGAACACAACTTCCAGCCTGGCGACAACGTGGAGGTGTGTGAGGGGGAGCTAATCAACCTGCAGGGCAAGATCCTGAGCGTGGATGGCAACAAGATCACCATCATGCCGAAGCACGAGGATCTCAAGGTATGGGGTGGGCGGCGCTGGCCTGGGCTTGCATCCAGGCCCTTTGGCTGCCAGGGAGGATGGGGGAGACCAAGTGCAGGCTTGGCAGGGGGTGTGTGTACCTGGCTGTACCTATAGAGGCAGCAGGCCTCTTGGATCTGTGCGTTCCTGGATGCCGTGCCTGTGGTCCCGGGCTCCAGGATTAGCCCAGGAACGTAAAACAATAGAGCTGTGAGCCCTGCAACAGGCAGTGCCTGCATCCTGCTATCACCCCCCTCCTGTCCGTCTCCTGCCTCCCGCCCTGACCCCGTTCCCCCTCCGCCCAGGACATGCTGGAGTTCCCGGCTCAGGAGCTGCGCAAGTACTTCAAGATGGGAGACCACGTCAAGGTGATCGCCGGGCGCTTCGAGGGCGACACGGGGCTGATCGTGCGGGTGGAGGAGAACTTCGTCATCCTCTTCTCGGACCTCACCATGCACGAGGTGAGCGGGGCGGCGGCGGAGCTCCGGGCGCTTCCCTCTTCCCGTCCCTTCCCCGGGGCTGCTTGCTCACTCGCTTCCCCTCTTCCAGCTCAAGGTGCTGCCTCGGGACCTGCAGCTCTGCTCCGAGACGGCCTCCGGTGTGGACGTGGGCGGGCAGCACGAGTGGGGTGAGCTGGTTCAGCTGGATCCCCAGACCGTCGGGGTTATCGTCCGCCTGGAGCGGGAGACCTTCCAGGTGAGTGCGCGTTGCTCTCCCGGCGTTGGGCACCGAACTGTCTCACTGGAGCGCTAAGGAGGCAGCTCGGAACCTTTGCGTGGGGGAGGCGCTGGCTTCTCTGTAGGTAGGTTCTGCAGCAGCAGAAACCTGGCGTTTGGCCTGGATCAGACCAAAGGTCTGGGCAGTCTGGCATCCTACCTCTGCCGTGGGCCCATGCCCGATCCCGCTCAGCAGTGCGCACCCCGCCAGCTGAGCAGCTGGGAAGGAGAATTCCTTTCTGATCCCTTCAGTGTTTGGCTTCTCGCCCGCGAGTGATGTTCAGCGTAAGGGTTAATGGGATCGAAATGATTCGGCCACAGCCTCTGCCTGGCTCGAGGCCAGAATTCCCCGTTCTGCTTGAAGATGGGTTCCCGTTTCTCCCTCCCTGCTCTGCTTCCAGGCCTGATGAGGAGGGGCTGCTGAGGGTTTTTTCCCACACATCCTTTGCAATCCTAACTGCCTGGGTTCTTTTCTCTGTGCTACACAGGAGGTCACACTACAGATTCAATGGTCCTGTCTGGGCTGGTGGGTTGTTTTGGGGTCTTGGGCAGAAACCCCCCCCATAGGAGTCCTATCTCTTGGCAGTGCCTCTAAGCCAGTCTCATAGATTCGGAGACTGTAAGGCCAGAAGGGACCATTGTGATCATCTGGTCTGACCTGCTGCATGTCACAGGCCAGAGACCCTCGCCCACCCAGCCCGATAGTACACCCATAACCTCTGGCTGAGTTATTGATGGCCTCAAGTCTTAATTTAAAGACTTCAGGTTCCAGAGACCCCACTACTTACTCCAGTTCAAACTAGCAAGTGACTCTGGCCCCATGCCGCAGAGGAAGGTGAAAAGCCCCCTGGGTCTCTGCCGGTCTGACCTGAGGGGAAATGTGCTTCCCGCCCCCAGCTATGCTGATTCCCCGCTCTTCCCTCCCCATCCCCATGCAGGTCCTGAACATGTACGGCAAAGTGGTGACGGTCAGGCATCAGGCTGTGACGCGGAAGAAGGACAATCGCTTTGCCGTGGCCCTGGACTCGGAGCAGAACAATATCCACGTCAAGGACATCGTTAAAGTCATCGACGGGCCGCACTCGGTGAGGGCGGGGGGGGCGGGGGGGTGGCTCCTGCTAGGCAGGCCATGGGCTTGTGGTGTGGAGGGGGCTGAAGAGCGTAAGATCTTGTCTGCACTCCCCGTGTCCCGGCGAGTGGAGGCCAGTGCCCTGCTGGGAGATCATGCCACCTCTGATGGCGCCCTTGCACCTGGAGCTGGGCTGGGTTGGTACTTGAAGGGGGTGAGACGGGGGGAGAACCGGCAACTCGCTCAGGGTGCTGTCTTCCCTTGGAATCGCTGCTGACCCCTGTGTGGGGCTCGCCATGCAGCTGGAAGCATTATCTCAGTAAATAGACACCCTGACCATGGGGGGCCTTAAAGACCCCATGGCAATTTTCACGTTTATGCTCAGAGTTGTGGCCATGTTTCAACTCTGTTAATTTCCCCCTCATTCTTGGGTTCCTGTTGCAACTGGGTACAGTTTTGTTCTTCACTTCCTGTCCTAATCCCTTTCTGAGCAGCTTTGAACAGCTGCTGCATTGGAGTCCAGAAGTGGCTGCATTGCAGTGGTGGGTGAGGTGCTCTCTCCTCAGTGCCGAGGTGCAGGCTCTGGGGACTGGGAACTTCAGCTGTCTCTTGACTCTGTGACGTGCCCTGCCCCCGGGAGGCTGTGACTTTGGCCTCCCTGCCTTGCGGCTGGTCTCTGGATGCAGCTCCAGCGTGTCCGGGTTCGAGGGGGTCCCTGGAATAACTCTCCTCCCTGCTTCTCCTTCCCCAGGGTCGCGAGGGGGAGATCAGACACCTCTTCCGCGGCTTTGGATTCCTGCACTGCAAGAAGCTGGTGGAGAACGGGGGCATGTTCGTGTGTAAGACTCGCCACTTGGTGCTGGCTGGGGGCTCGAAGGTAAGTCGCCTAGGGAGACGCCCGGGGCCTCCCCATAGCTAGCATGACTGGTGGGACCGGCCTGAGCCTGTCTGTCCCGGATCTACCTCCCCCTCCCCATGAGGCTGGGTCAGGCTGCCTAGTTCCTGTCTCCAGTCAGCAGCTTCTGAGTGGCTCAAAGGAAGAGACACCCAATGTGGTTGCATTGGGAGGAGTGGATTTCTTCCAGACCCCCAGCTGGCAAATGTTCCATGCCTTGAAATGTGAATCAGCAGCCCCTGGAGACAGTGTTGTCTAGTGGCTAGAGTATGGCCCTGGGAAGCAGGACTCGTGTGTGACCCTGCGAGTCTCTCCCCGGGTAGACGGGGGGTGAGGTAAGGAAGGGGGTTAGGAGGTGAGTTAGGGAAGTGCTTTGAGATCTTCGGCTAGAGAAGGGGAAAGAAAGCCGCAGGCCGATTTGCCTTGCGCGAGCTGATGGGGTGGGGTGGAGCCAGAGCTTCCTGTGGGCGGGGTGGCAATGTGTCCCCACTTCCCTTCCCAGGGCATGGATCTACTCCCTCCTCATTGGTTCTGGGGGAACATAGCGCCCCCTTGTGTCACCCTGGCTCCTCCTTGGTTCATCACCAGGTTTCCTCTCAGGGCCCCAGAGGGACTTTCTCTCCCCCACGAGAGGGTTCCCCTTCCTGCTCTCACGCGCTTTCCCTCTTGCAGCCCCGGGACGTCACCAACTTCACCGTCGGAGGCTTTGCCCCCATGAGTCCTCGGATCAGCAGCCCCATGCACCCCAGCGCGGCAGGTGGGTGTCCTGTCGGGCTGGGCCTCGGTTTGGGGATTTCTGTAGGCTCTGGCTCACCCCCGGTGTTTGTAGCGCCCCCGGCTGGCCCAGCACTACAGTGGGGGGTCGGTAACGCTGGGGTGACGGGAGGCTGCAGCCCTGGGGGCACTGTCCCGCTCTGATCTCTGCCCCCCTCCACAGGTCAGCGAGGTGGCTTCGGGGGCGGGATGAGCCGAGGCCGCGGGCGCAGGGACAACGACCTGATTGGGCAGACGGTCCGGATCTCCCAGGGACCCTACAAAGGTAATGGGCCAGTTGCCGGCCGGGGCCGGTCCTCTCCCTTTTGTAGCAGGGCAGGACGGGGCTGGGAGGTATGTGGCAGGTCTGTTCCATTAGAATGTATGTGTGGGGTGGGGACGGGACTGTCAAGCGGTGAGGGATTCCCGGGGGCAGCATGTCCGGTCTAGTGGTTGGGGCCAGAGGGTGGAGGGGAAGCTCCTGGGTCCTATTCCTGGCGGTGGGAGGGTGGTGGGGTCTAGTGGCTAGAGCAGGGAGTCAGTACGTACGGGTTTTGCTCCCATGCCTGAGAGGGAGCTGTTAGTGGACAGCCCGCCTGTCCCTGCCGTACCAGGGAGTCCCTAAGGTGAGCTCCAAAGTTCAAACCCAGCCTGTGGCTGTCCCCTCCCTGTATCTGTCGAGTGAGGACCGAGTCAACCTGAGCTCCCAGCAGGTTCTTACCACAGAGCAGGGGAGCTCTGGATTCCGGCTGGTGCTCTGGCCACGTGCGCTTGGCTTTGGGAAGCCCGCAGGTGTGAATCCCCTGCTGGCCCGTGGCCCGTTTTCCAGGCGGCCCTTGGTGATGCTCAAGCTGGGCGCCCCCCTGCAGCGTACACTTAGGATCTCTAGGAGCTGCGTCAGGCTCGGAGAGCTGAGGCCTTGTTCCTTGCAGGCTACATCGGCGTGGTGAAGGATGCCACGGAGTCCACGGCCCGCGTGGAACTCCATTCCACCTGCCAGACCATCTCAGTGGATCGCCAGCGCCTCACGACCGTGTAAGTGCGGCGGGCGGGGGAGACGGGGCTTGTTCTGGGCGGAGCCCAGGCTGGGGTGCCACCGCCAGCAAGCTGCAATCCTGGGCTGCCCAGAATGGAGGCTGGCGGCCCGGCACCATGGTCGAAGCGAATGCCGACCAGGCTGGGGGCAGAGGAGATCCCCACGTCTCCCCCGGTTGGAAGGGAAGCAGGGGACCTGGGCTGGCTCCTGGGCTACGGAGCTGCTAACCTCTAGGACCCCGGCTAAGCCAGCCCGGATGGGTAGTGACCCGCAACTTGGTGCCCCTGGTGGGAAACTGGGCTTGGTTCAGTGCCCAGCGGCTCGGCACAGTTTGCACCTGCCCTTGCACCTGAGGCCCTCTAGTGGCGGGCAGAGCGAGCCAGTGTACAGCAACTCCTCTCTCGCTGGCAGGGGTTCGAGGAGACCTGGCGGCATGACCTCCGCCTACGGCCGCACCCCCATGTACGGCTCGCAGACCCCCATGTACGGCTCCGGCTCCCGCACCCCCATGTACGGATCGCAGACCCCGCTGCACGACGGTGAGTGAGCTGAGCCTGCTGCCGCGGGGGCGGGGGGAATTGGGCCCCGGGTCGGAGGAGGATGGTAGGGGGCTCCCCGGGAACAGGGGGGAGTAAGCTGTCCAGCTTTGCGGTCGATCCACTCCGTCCTGGTTCGTGCCCAGCACTCCTTGCCCCACCTGATGGTGCTGGGTAATGGGGGAGCCCGATGGACCTGCGCCTCTCCCCCAGATCCCGGCGGGGGGTGGGATGACGTAGGGCCTGGCCCCTCCCCATCGCTGCTGCCCGGACATGGTGCTAACCAGGCGCGCGCTGGGCTCTTTCAGGCAGCAGGACCCCGCACTACGGCTCCCAGACGCCGCTGCACGACGGGAGCCGGACGCCTGCGCAGAGCGGGGCTTGGGACCCCAACAACCCCAATACGCCCTCCAGGTTTGTGTCTCTTGCGCTAGTCTGGGACGGGGTGGGGGTGGAGGTAGCTTTGACGCGGTCAGCCACTAGGGGGCAGAGGTGTGTGGCATGATGGGGGCTATGGGAGAGGGGGCTGGGTTGGGGGGCTTCATGTGTCAGGAGCTCAAAGGGAACTCTGATTGGATGGGTGTGTGGCGCCCTCTGCTGGAGAGTGGAGAACTGACGGGGGGGGGATTACTTCAGTGTGCTCCTACGGGGAGGTGACGGGTGGGCTGCAGACGTCATTGTGTCTCCCATGTGCCGTGTGAATGATGCGTTCTCCTCCCCAGGGCGGATGAGGAGTTCGAATACGGCTTCGATGATGAGCCCACGCCCTCTCCGCAAGGCTACGGGGGGACCCCCAACCCCCAGACTCCCGGCTACCCCGACCCGTCGTCTCCGCAGGTCAATCCGCCGTACAATCCGCAGACGCCGGGCACCCCAGCCATGTGAGTGCGCATGCCCCTGGAAGGGTGTGGGGGAGAGCCTCTCGCAGGGCAGGAGGACATGGAGTGGAGCCCCGCCAGGTTCCTACTTCTATTCCTACCCCCATCCTCACTGCCCGTCTCTTCTCATTGCAGGTACAACACCGATCAGTTTTCTCCGTACGCTGTTCCGTCTCCTCAGGGCTCCTATCAGCCAAGCCCCAGCCCTCAGAGTTACCACCAGGTGGCGCCTAGCCCCGTCGGCTACCAGAACACCCACTCGCCAGCCAGTTACCACCCGACCCCGTCGCCCATGGCGTATCAGGTACCGTCCAAGCTCCTGAATGTGTAAAATGCCAGGCCGAGCCGCAAATTGCAGTTGGCTTTGCCAGATCCAGGGTGGCCCTGTTCCAGCGGGAATTCCTGCTGTGGTCGCGAGGGGCTAATGTCGGAGAGCAGAGACCTCTAACTCTATGCGGCTTCTTCCTCACAGGCCAGCCCCAGTCCTAGCCCCGTGGGCTACAGCCCCATGACGCCGGGGGCTCCTTCTCCAGGGGGTTACAACCCTCACACCCCCGGCTCCGGCATCGAGCAGAACTCCAGCGACTGGGTCACCACCGACATCCAGGTCAAAGTTCGAGACACTTATGTGGACAGCCAGGTGGTGGGGCAGACGGGAGTCATCCGCAGCGTGACGGTGCGTAGAGGGGAGAGCGCTGCTTTCATGCCGTGGGGCCGGGGGGCAACCAGATGGGGCATAAGGGAGGATCTGATGGGTGTAATTACTAACGAAGAGGATGAAATAATTAAGGGGGAAATTAATCAAACGCTGGCTGGGCACCAAGGAAAGCCATCCTGACAGTGAGAATTACAGTGCGATGGAATTGTCATCCTGGGGGCAACCCCTGGGGCCTCTTTAATTAAGACTAGGAGAAGCCTGGAGAATATTGCTGTAAAGAACAGCCCTGCGTGGAGCGGCGGATTAGAAGCAAGAACTCCAGGCCGCCGTGACTTCTGAATTCTCTGTCTGATCTAATTCAGGGTATTTGTAGCTTCGAGGTCTGGATCGTGCAGGTGTTGGGAAGAGGGTGTGTGTGAAGAGACCCAGTTAAAGTCAGACCAAACTGCTGCCTGCATGCACGGCTGTATTGGGTCCAGCGTCCGTCCTCTAATGTTTATCCCTCCCCCATGCATACATCAGGTAGATAAGAACGGCCATCCTGGGTCAGGTCAAAGGTCCATATAGCCCAGTATCCTGTCTGCCGACAGTGGCCAACGCCAGGCGCCCCAGAGGGAATGAACAGAACAGGCAATTATCAAGTGATCCATCCTCCCAGCTTCTGGCAAACAGAGGCTCGGGATGCCAGGTGTGAACAGGTTTGAATTGTGCAGGATAGTGCATAGGAGACAGAGAACAGAGCGAGGGACATAGAGAACAGTGGTACCAACACGTGGTGCGGTGAATAACCAAATGCGTCCAGTTGCAAGGCCAGTAAGGGGGGGAGGGAAAAGTTAAGGGAGGAAGTTGAGTTGTAAGAACACGCTCGGTTAGCAGCAAGTGCGCACGCGAAGGCCATTGACACCACAAGCTGCAGAGGAGAAGGCTCTTGTATCCACCTTTCTGCGGCACACCTGTGTGCGGGTAACAGCAGTATCGATGTGCTAGCTGCTTGGGCATGTACTTGGGGGGGATACCCCTTGCTGAATACTGTGCGGATGTGTGTACGCAGCTGTTTATTTACTTGCGTGAGCTAGATCAAAGCCCACCCATGCTGCAATCAGATCTGCGCTTGCAGCGGGGAGGTACCCTAAGTGGCTATTGAGGGGGGAACAGAGTTTCTTGGGGATCGGTTGGAACCTTCCTGGAATCCCGGAGGGTTCGCATCCCGGGGTGGGAAGAGATGAATTCTCGGCTTTGCGTTTGAGCTCAGGCGTGCTCTACAAACGGGTTTGAAAGAGCACGTGGCCTCTGAAGCCCTTTGGCTTGGTGTTGGCGCCTGACCAGGCTGTCTTCTCCCATCAGGGCGGAATGTGTTCAGTCTACCTGAAGGACAGCGAGAAGGTGGTCAGCATTTCGAGTGAGCACCTGGAGCCCGTCATACCGACCAAAAACAATAAGGTACGTTAACGCCAACCCATCTGTCTGGCCGCTCGGCTCAAATCGCATCTCTAGCCTCTCCGGTAGTTGGATTATACTGTCCTACGTAGAACCAGATTCTGTAGGTCTGCGTTGGGTCTCGATTAAGAGTAATTTGTTCCTGGTTGGTGCGGTACTGCCTGTGGGCCAGCCATGGGGGCCCATTGTGCTGCTGTACAAACCAAGCAGGCAGTGGCCCTGGCCCTAGATTGTTAGGAGTACAAGGGGAGGGAATTATCCCTCAGTTAGTTGCAATATGTCCCACGAAAATAGTCCCCATTCAAGCAGTTATAACAACCATCCCTCGCTCTTACCTAGTGCTTTCCATCAGCGGACCTCAAAGCGCTTTACAAAGGAGGTCAGAGTCGTCATGCCAGTTTTCCCGATGGGGAAACTGAGGCACAGGAAGGTGTGGGGGAGAATGAATTTCCCAAGGTCACCCAGGAGGTTTTATTCTGTCTGTACAGGGCCTGGCACAATGGGTCCATGTCTGCGTCTTCTAGGTGCTCCTGCAATATAATCATCATCCATGGAGAAGTTTTTAGACTGTGAGCTCCATGGGGCTGGGACCAAGCTGTCTTCTCTGCTTGGGAATGCCTGGCATGCTGTGGGCACCACCAGAAAGAACGAACAGTTCCCTTGCCAGTTATGCTCGTCTGGGCCCCCCATCGCGACGAATAGGGAGTTAAAGTTCTAGCATGCACTCAGAATGGCCAGGTTTAATAGATGTGATGGTCAAACTTCGTTCTGATGCAGCTGGTCTTTCCAAGCTGCAGAGATCATGAATATTAATGTTCCGACTGAGACTGAGTGCCCATCGTGCCAGGCGCTGCCCAGACACGGAGTAAGAGACCAGCCCTGTCCTGAAGAGCTTCCAGTCTAAATAGACGAGGCATGGAAATGGAGACTGCCTGCTTTCTCTGAGACCACCTTGATGTCTGTTCTTAGGGTCTCCTCCAACCCTGAGCTACCCGACTGGCTCCCTTGCTTATCTGAACGCTTCACTTATCTCCACCAGGCTTTAGCCTATCAGGATTGTACTGAGCAATACATGTGATGGGGTGGGTTGTTCGTATGCCTAGAGAGGAAGGACGGTCCAGTGGTTAGAAGGCTAGTCTGGGATTCTGGAGAGCTGGGTTCAGTTTTCACTTGGGCAAATCACTTTGCCTGTCTGGGCCTCAGTTTTCCCCATCTGTACAATGGGGATAATAATAATAATAGCTAGCTTTCTGTTAGCATTTTCTACCTCTGGATCCTAAAGCGCTGCCCGACGTCCCAGGGGGTTGGAAAGATAAATACACTTCGGGGCAGCCAGATAAAGATCATCGATAGGAACTTATTGACCCTGTGCAGCCAGTCCTGTTTTCAAGCATGCCCCTTTTACCTCACAGCAGACACAATCCGTTCTGACTTCCTCCATCGCATCTAGCAGAAGCATAATCCCCTTGTCCCTCAAGCTCCTGTGCTTGCTTTCTCTAGGTGAAGGTGATCCTGGGGGAGGACCGGGAGGCGACGGGCGTCCTCTTGAGCATCGACGGAGAGGATGGCATCGTTCGCATGGACTTGGAGGAGCAGCTCAAGATCCTCAACTTGCGGTTCCTGGGCAAGCTGCTGGAGCCTTAGGGCCGGGGCCTTTTTAGCAGTTGACCAGAGACTGGTTCAACGTGTCCTTGTACAGAGTTCGGGGGGTGGGAGGGGGGGTTGCTGCTTTTTTTTTTCCCTCCAGAACAGCTGGTGGTTGTTTGGGGAGTTTTGTTTTTATTTGTAATGCTGCCGTTATGTCTCATGAGTAAATTGGGACTGGAGTAGGAAAAACTGTGTGCGCGCACGTGTGGGGAGGGCAGGGGTAGGTCCCGTAGCACTAAACGCGCTTCATCTCCTTCCTCTTGAAAAAGGAAACCACTTGCTGTGCCTGCGTTTCAATAAAATCCATCTGTCCCGTGCCCCCCATATGTGCTTGGTCTGTATCACCGGATGCAGTAGGCTGCCTGGATCCTAGGCCACCCTCATAGGAACGGCTCAAATGCAGCCTGCTGGACGGAATGGAACAGCTTGATCTTGTCTGAGCGTCACTTTTTTTTTTCTTTTTGCCTTCTATTATCCTATGAAATAAACAAAGGGAAATCTTAAAACGGCCAGAGAGACAAGGGGAAGAAGGAACACAAGCCAAACTAGGGAAAGACCTAAATATTCTTTAGCCAGTTAAGTTCGACATAGGCAAGTCGGGAGGGCCTGATGAATTTGCTTCAGTTAGTTCCTTACACCCCTTAGGGTCAGTCTCAGAACCATTAGCAATGATATACCTATCTCATAGAGCTGGAAGGGACCCTGAAAGGTCATCAAGTCCAGCCCCCTGCCTTCACTAGCAGGACCAAGTATTGATTTTGCCCCAGATCCCTAAGTGGCCCCCTCAAGGATTGAACTCACAACCCTGGGTTTAGCAGGCCAATGCTCAAACCACTGCGCTATCCCTCCTCTCCGTTCTTCAAGAACTCCTGGAGGAGTTGAGGTTCCAGGGGATTGGAGAAGGGCAGACGTGGTACCTATCTTTAATAAGGGGAACAAAGAGGACCCAGGGAATTTGCAGACCAGTCAGCCTATCTTTGATACCTGGAAAGATATTGGAACCGCTTGTTGTTTAATCCGTTTGTAAGCACCTAGAGGATAATGGGGGGAGGGATAGCTCAGCGGTTTGAGCATTGGCCTGCTAAACCAGGGTTGTGAGTTAAATCCTTGAGGGGGCCATTTAGGGATCTGGGGCAAAAATCTGTCTGGGGATTGGTCCTGCTTTGAGAAGGGGGTTGGACTAGAACCTTCTGAGGTCCCTTCCAACCCTGATATTCTATGATAAGGAACAGCTAGCATGGCTTTAAGAGTAAATCATGCCAAGCCAACCTTATTTTCTTCTTTGATAGGGTTATTGTGGATGGGGTAGGAGGGGAAACTGTAGATGCTTGATTTGATGAAGGCTTTTGACACAGTCCCCCATGACATTCTCATAAGCAAATGCGGTCTAGATGAGATTATTATAAGGTGGGTGCACAATTGGTTGGAAGACTGTACTCAGAGTAGTTATCAGTGGTTTGTCAAATTCAGGGAGTGTATGTAGTGGGGTCCTGCTTGGGTTAGTCCTGGGGCTGGCACTATTCAATATTTTCGATAATGAAGTGGAGAGTATACTTACTAAATTTACAGATGACACCAAGCTGGGAGGGGTTGCAAACACTTTGGAGGGCAGGATTAGAATTCAAAACAACCTTGACGAATTGGTCTGAAATCAACCAGATGAAATTCAATAAAGACGCATGCAAAGTATGTCACTTAGGAAGGAAAATTCAAATGCCAAATGGGGAATAACTGGCAAGGGGGTCATACTGCTGAAAAGGATCTGGGGGTTATAGTGGATCACATGAATGAGTCATCAATGGGATGCGGTTGTGAAAAAGGCTGATATTCGGGGGTGTATGAACAGAAGTGTCGTATGTAAGACGTGGGAGGTAATGGAGCCCCGCTCTGCATGGCACTGGTGAGGCCTCAGCTGGAGTGCGGTGTCCAATTCTGGGTGCCGCACTTTAGGAAAGAGTTGGATAAAGTGGAGAGAATCCAGAGGAGAGCAACAAAAATGATCAACAGTTTGACCTGACCTGTGAGGAAAGGTTTAAAAAAAAGGGGCATGTTTAAAGTCTTGAGAAAAGAAGACTTGCGGGGGATCTGATAACCATCTTCAAATATGCTAAGGGCTGTTTTAAAGAGGATGGTGATCAATGGTTCTCCAGGTCCTCTGTAGGTAGGACAAGAAGCAATGGGTTTAATCTGCAGCAAGGGAGATTTAGGTGAGATATTAGGACTAATTTTCTAACTCTCAGGGGAGGGAAGCTCTGGAACAGGCGTCTAAAGGAGGTTGTGGGATCCCCTGTCACTGGAGGTTTTTCAGAACAGGTTTGACAAACACCCGTCAGGGCTGGTCTAGGTTTACTTGCTGCTGCCTCAAGTCGGGGCTGGGCTCGGTGCCCTCTTGAGGTCCCTTCTACCGCGCTATTCCCATTCTGTGTGAAGGGTTTTCCTTAGGTGAGCAGAGCAGCACTGTTCGGACAAACTTCCATTAGCGACTGAAGCAAGGCTGTGGCAAATGAAGAGGAGCAGGCTCTTGGCGATTAAAAAAATCAGACCGATAAAGTGACTAGAGACTCAATTTCCCTGACTTTTTCTTTCATGTCTAAATCACTGCTCTAAATCCAGTCCAAGTAACTGAATGTCCTTGAAACAGCTGATGGCTGTCTGCTGACCCATGGGCGAAATTACCTGGTGTGGAGTTGGCCACCTCAGCACTATTTTTACATTTCCCCCCAAGTTGGCCAGCAATAACAGACTGGGTCACTTTCATTCTTGTGTCTAACGTGTTTCTCATTTTCATTTTCTGGTTCCTATGCACCAGCCCAGGGCTGTAATACAATCATAGAAGATTAGACCTCAGGAGGTCATCTAGTCCAACCCCAACTAAATCATCCCAGGCAGGGCTTTGTCAAGCTGGGCCTTAAAAACCTCTAAGGAAGGAGATTCCACCACCTCCCTAGGGAACCCATTCCAGTGCTTCACCACCCTCCTAGAGAAATAGTGTTTCCTAATATCCAACCTAGACCTCCCCCACTGCAACTTGAGACCATTACTCCTTGTTCTGAAGAAGCTGGGTTACGTGCACCACAGGGGAAAGATTTTGTTTTTCACTGAGAATTATTTTTTCAAAGGGAAAGATTTTGTGGGTGGTCTCACATTATGAATATATTAACCCTAATTTGGAGGCTACAGACCTAAGGCAGAGTCTTCCTTTGAAAGAATTTTCTCCCTTCACCAAAGAATATCTGACAGGGATACTTCCTCTGTCGGGTTATTTTATCAATTTGAATAAAGGAAAAAGCTGTGATAAACTGTTGCCTCGCCCCCTCTGCCTGCCGGCTGTAGTGAGTTTTGATGAGTATTGTTCAAAACCCTAACAGCAGAGGTTTGTAGAAATTTGTATTGCTCTTGCTTTTGTTTTCCTTGAAGAGGTGACATCAATTTGCAATCTAGTCAAGCCTTTCAAGTAATTTCAGGTACTCTGCCATCCCTTGTTTCTGTCTGAAATACAAACAGAAAAGCAGGGACTGTTGAGGGATCACTTCACCCAGTCCTGCAGTGAAGCCACACCTGAGCTTGGACTGGGCAGCTTTGGAAGAGGGTCCAGTCAACTCTCCTGAACCACTTATAACATGACTTGAGGAATATTATTTCCTCCACTGTCAATTCAGTGGGTGAGCAGGATAATTTAAATGTGTTCAGGCTGTGGTTGCAAAGTTTGGACTGTACAGTCTCCTTGATCAACAGGCTGTTTACAACAGGAGCACATATTTGGCACGTAAGTGCATGTGGCCACAGCTTGTGAAAATGATCCTTAAAGCGCCATCACTAGGCTTCAGAGTGAACATGGCCATGAGAAGAATGGAGTGTTCCACAGCTCTCAGAATGGCAGCTTCAGACTGTCATAGGTAAGGAAGTCCCCCCCCCCCATCCTTTGCACTGAAGTGGGCCAAAGGTTTTAATTCTAGAGAACGCTCCAATTCCGTAGCATCAAAAATCCTGGAGCCTTGGCCTGTGCCCAGCTGCTAGGAGTGCGCCAGAGGAGCCTCTGTGGGAAAAGTGGGGAGGAAGAGTTAGTACGCAAGGGCCAGAGCTGAAGTGCTAGTGGGACCTGGGAAAGATCAGTGCCATGCTGGGCGGGGGGGAAAGGTTGATACCACACTGCTCCTCCTCGGTTACCTTCTAGTCTCCCCATCAGCCCCTCACTCCCTCTTATTCCCCACGCCTCTTCCCTTCCCTCCCCCTCCTATCCCTTCCCTCCTCCCAACTGCCTCACCCTCCACCTCCCCACCAATTCCCTATCCACCTCCCCCCTCCATTGCCCCAACCCGATCCACCTCCCCAACCCCCTTCCCCCTCCACATCCTCCCTCCATTGCCCCAACCTCCCTTCCCTTCTCCCCACCATCCCCAACCTCCTTCCTCCCTCTCCCTCTCCTCACTTCCCCCTCCAACCCCCCTCCCTCAAATCCCCATCCTCCCTCTATCCCCCTCCACCCCCACCTCCCCTCCCCAACCTCCCTTCCCCCTCCTCCTTCCAACCCCCCTCCACCTCCTCCCTCCATTGCCCCAACCCCATCCACCTCCCCAACCCCCTTCCCCTCCACAGCCTCCCTCCATTGCCCCAACCCCCTTCCCCCCAACATCCCAACCTCCTTCCTCCCTCTCCTCCCTTCCCCCTCCAACCCCCCTCCCTCAAATCCCCA